ATCGAGGGAAAAGAGGCTAGCAAAGTACAGTGAAAAGAGTAACGATAGAAGTGTTTATTTTTTTGTATATATATTTTTTTCGGGGGAGGGAAGGGAAAAGGGGATTTTGAAAGAACTTCTAAATGGGGGAGGGAAGGTAATGTAACTTGGAAGGGAGATCTTAACGAGAATCTAACACGAGAAAGAGAGAACAATAGAAATGCTTAAAACAACAGCAAATATATCTACAGCAAGAGACGAAAGACTCAAGGCACAGCGAACTGTGGTTGCAAGAAGACTGGGGAAATGGCGGGTACTCTGGGATGCAGAGTTCCCACCAAAACCGTTAAGCTTTTGAATCTTCCCAGCTACAGGCACTGCACAGGCGCAGCACCCATATGTGTGATGCACAGAGGCCGCAATGAAGAACCTTAGGACCAGAAGGTAGGCAAGTCAAGTGTTGTCCAACTGATGCCAGGAATATACAAATCAGAGTAGCAGTGCTTGCATCAGCAGCCTAACTAGTGGGCAAACTGCAACTGTGGCTGCCATGCAACTTAGGACCTGATGAACTTGGAGTACTGTGATAAAAGGTTTCTTGCCCAACTTGTTGGTGAGGCTGATCAGAGCAAACACCCTGGATTCCAGTGAAAAAGTTCTTGTAGTCATGCAATGAAAGCAGGCTGCAGTGTGCAGGATTGTCCAAGAAAGAGACAGAAGATATTTTTCTTAATTATACAAAGTCCTAATAAAGTCTAGGTAGCATCAATGGAATGGAATACGAACTCCTTAGAAGGAGCAACAATCAGTCAGTTGCCTAAATAATGTTAAAGCTGAACTCCTTGTAGGTGTATGTGGGTATGAACTGTGGCCGTACATTTTGTGAAAATCCAAGGGCTGTACATAGGAGGACTGAAAGATGGAAAGTGTCATTTCCTATTTGGAAACACTGATAATGCCTGTATGACTCCTCTATCAAGATATGAAGATAAGCATCTTTCAAATCTATGGAAGAAAACTTATCACCTTTGTGCAGCAAGTGTAGAATATTCTGTAGTGGGACCATACCGAATTACTATGGTATGCTGAAAGAACAAACATCCTGGAGATGCAGGATGAGTCAAAGCTATCAGGATCAGTCAAGCTATCCATCCTGTTTCAGTACTCTAGAGTATAAAAATAAAAAAAACCTTGTGCAGTTGAGAAGGAACAGATTCTATAGCATTCTTCAAAGGCAGTGAGTCTACCTCCACAATCAAGGCTTTAGATGATTTAGCATTTATGATGCTGAATAGTGGGAGGATATTGAACTTGATCCTTTACCCCTATTCAACAATGGCTAAGACCCAAGAATCTGGCACTGTTTTCCATGTGGGAAGAAACAGAGACAAACAACAGCTTCAGATGGGGGCATAAGCAAGAGGACTAGTTACAGAGAATAGTCAACACAGACCCATATCAAGGTCCATTCCTTTATGCCCACTGTCAAATTTGAGAGTCAAATCCCAGTGTCTCAATTGAGAAGCAGACTCTCGGCAAAAAGCAGACTCTCGGAAGTCTGTAAAGGGTGCATTAGGTCAAAACCACTCATGAGCCCTAGAAAAGAGTTATTGGTTTAGTCACATCCATCTGGCAGTTGCCCTAGCCACCTATTTTTGGTCTTCTGGGAGGCAATCACAAAGGGAGCCTATATTGTCCCATAGAAAAGGTTGGTAGCAGGCCATGGTGGCCTGATAATTAGTTACCCAAAGATTATGTGCAGAAGAGTAGATGCACCTTTCCATCAGGTCTAGACAGCAACCCTCTGTTCACTGGAGCAAAGTGGATGTAACAAGATCTCCCTTGTGTCAACTCAACAATGCTCAAATTTGAACTAGGGTGCAGAAAAAGAAATGCCACTTCTTCTGGATTCTATACACATTTCCAGACACTTTGGTGTAGGTATCACAGAAAGGATGCTCCACAACTGCCATACTATCTGCAGGAGGGAAGGACACATCCATACAGACCAGCACTGAAAACCCATCCATTGGCTGTTGTGTTTCTAGGCCCAGGGGTTTGGTCATGCAGAGGATCGGTTCCAAAAGTGAACATGTCTTCAGATGGTGATGAAGGATCCTGAATATCCACAGTTGCTTCCAGAGAAGATAAAGATGGGGTCACTGATAAGCACGAGGCTGAGAATGATTGGTGCTGGAGAGAGGAGAAACTGGGTACCTCTAGAGCTGAGGTCAGCGACAAGGGCTGTTGTACTAGAATCAAGCTGATCGTGGCTTGGTCAAGTGGATGTCATTGAAAAGATGCAGCTGGCTGTGATGTCAGCACAGGGACTAGCAGAATATTGATTCTGCAGAGAAGCATTCCTGTTCCTGGAATGAAGATTTGGCATGGAATTCCCACTGGTATCAAGTGCCACAATTAGAGATGTATGAAGAATCAATTTGGGGGTGGAACCCTGGGCTTAGCTTCCTGGATCCTAGCTAATCTGGCAAGCACAGACAGCATTTGTGGGCACTTACCACGAACTGAGTCCCATGTGCTGTTCAAGCAGTGCCCCTTCTGTGCCCAGTGTTATCACTGCTGACTGAACCAGATAAAGAATGTTGGGAATAGTACCTGGCACAGCTGTTTGCACTGCCCCTTTTCTATGCTTGGCATTGTTGCTAGCAGCTGCACTGGGCACAAAAGCAAGTAGGTCACAAGGAATGGCAGCTGCTCTTTGGGCAGCTGCACCTGATGGGAAAGACTGCCAGTTGTACAACTGCATGTCTGAAAGTATTTACAGACTTCCTCTTGGCTCAGCTTGCTTTGCAGGACTGAGCCAAGCATGCGAGCAAGTCCATGGATGCTAGAGCGTCAGTTCATGTCACAGTAATATTCTCAATCTTGAGGATATCCCCATGTATCATAATAGCTTTGATAAGTTATGATAAGTTATTACCATTCCACACATCAAACACAGTCCAACAGAGGAGAACGAGAATGCTGTCTGTGTCATTCAAGCCCAGGATGTCATTTTTGTTGATATCATTGAAATCACATCCTACCGATGTGATACTAAAGCTACAGAAGGAGGACATAGTGCCAGTTGTTAAGGAGGTAGATAACAAGTCACCGTTGTCATATAATGAATTTTGCCATATCCACTATCAACAGGGCCTTACTCCAAAGATCCACTCTCAAGTGGTCTGACCTGTGCCTTTGAGCCATAAATACCTATGATCCTCGCCAAACCAAAAATGGCAGCGAGAGTGCCTATCAGTTGGTGGGAGTTAATTCCCATACCACACACACTTTCTGAAAGGTGCCTTCAGTGTCATGTAGCCTTAGAAGAGCCAGAGGGGAAAGGCCGGAAATAAAGGGGGGATAAAAATGAAAAAGGTAACAGAGTTTAATAAGAAAGTGATGGAGGAGTAGTAAGGAGAAAAAAATTCACTCAGGTGTTGATTATGGGTGAATTTCCTGAAGCTACCACAATGGCAGTCAAAAAAGAACTGAAGGAATGGGCAAGAAATCCTGTACCAATAGTGGGGGAGTGGTTCCTGCCAAAACATTATCAGCTATGGAAACTTCCTGAAGACATGCTCAAAGCAGGCACAGAGCTCATAAGTATATATACTGTTTTTGTACATGACTCCATTTAAAAATACGTTTGAAGGACAGAAACAAATATTTTCAAACCAAAACCAGAATCAAAGGAATATTATAGTCAGAAAATGAATAAGTGGCCTAAATAGTAAGTTCTATAGCCAAAATGTTTAATGGTACATGTTGCTAAGAATCAAGAAGAGCACTAGATAAAATACAGTCCTAATTTCACATGAACAAAGCATACTGCTCCTAGACTAAAGCATAAACAAACAATGAGTTCAACTGCACATTCTTCTCTTTCCCTCCAGTATTTATTTATTTATTTATTTATTTATTTATTTATTTATTTATTTATTTATTTATTTATTTATTTATTTATTTATTAAAACATTTCTATGCCGCCCCTTGCCGTAGCCTCGGGGCGGCTCACAACATAATAAAATACACAAAAGTCAGTCTAATTTACTAAGGCAGTTTCCCATGGTATTATAAAATGAGTTAAGCACTCTATGAAACTATGGTTTCCAATTCAATATTGCAGAGAACACTTTAAAAATTCCCACCTTGGATGCCAAAAAAACCCCACTGCTTACCAAACAAGGATGTTCACTCTAAAGCTCAGTAACAGAGAACAACAAAAAGTCTTCAAGATTATTTATTTATTTATTTTTATTAAAAGCTTTTATATGCCGTCCTTTATATAAATATCTCAGGACGGCTTACAGTACTTTAAAAGAACAATTTAAAACAACAACTTTCAATAAACGAATTAAAACAGTAATAATGTATAACATAATAAACAGCAATTAACACAAAGTGAATCACAAAACAGAACAAGAGAGACTGTACATTAAAATCTATTGCTTTAAAATGCCATTTAAATAAAAAGGTTTTGACCTGGCTCCAAAAAGGGTAGAAGCTTTTAATGTACAGTCACTACATATCCCTATAATAATTATTCCCATTACAAACCCTCCCACCAAGGTTCTTTTCCCTTGACTCAGGCTCATGCCTGGTTTGAGGGTGTGGTGGGGGAAATATCAATTTTAAGTCATCACAAGAGAAAACATTTACAGGAAACTAGAATGCAGAGAAAAGGTTAAGCACTGCCTTCTCAACCTACCAATTCTCATCAGCAAATGTGTCTAAACTGACTCAGATTAACTTCCAAGAACTTATACTCAAGGGTGGGATGGAAACACAGGTTTCAAATTATTCCAATTATTTCCAAAGATGAGATAAATTAATATTAATCATTCAGTAGCATCAACATCTTAAAAGATCCTACAGTGTATCTTAGTTTTCCTAAGAGAGATGGATGGGATTACTCTTGCTCACCTGGACTCAAGATTCTCAGCCATAGCAACAACATAAACTAGCAAGATAAACCAGCAATGAGTAAAATACTGATCAATAATATCAATACATACTGCAGCCCATTGCATGTGGAAAGTGCAGCTTTGGAGTTCTTGATACCTCTGGTGTTCCCGTGATAGTAACAGTGTTCTCCTCCCTAAGGATTAACAGAAATACTTTTAAATAGGCTACTGCATGTCCATAATATCAAGGAAATGATCACCGAATGTATGGTTTAAAGCTATACAGGACAACAACAAAAACTAGGTAAAGAGTTAGTATGTCTTTTAAAATGCATTTTCGTATGATACATCAAGAATATAGTTCTAACTGAACTATACTGACTTAGGCTGCAATCATATATACACACACACTGAACCTGACAGAATACAGCAGAGTTCACTATTGAGTGAGCAGGCACAGAATTTTGTTGCCAAGTAACTAACAATTCAGTTCTTCCAAATGCTGTTTGAGTTTGATAAGGATAACATATCTCATTGTTAGTCTCTTAACAATTTAGTGAATTGCTTCATGTAAGCAAAATGTTAATATGTTTTGTACTGGATATTATTAGCTGACCTACTGATATTTCTTCTGCTTATTTAATTTCTGTTATGTTTTAAATGAACTCTGATTGAGTTAATGTTGTATTATACTTATGGCTAATATATTTGTTTTTATGAACTGCTTTGAGCACAATGTACTATGGGAAATGCAGTATACATATAAATTGGTTATGACTATATTCTGATGTGGTGCCCTTGAGGAATTGCAACAATCTACAACATGACGTTGAATTATAGAAGAATCAGCTTCATATGATATATTTTTCAGAATCAGAACTACTAAAATACAGGCATCATAACAGACTGTAATTCTCTTAAAAAGGAACACAGCAATGTATTCAGTAGATGGAATTACCATACCATTAAATGGCATGGAGTATGCATCTCCAATTTGTCTGAGACAAGTAGTTATATTTAAATTTTAAAACTTGTGTTCATTTTTTTAAAGCAGCAACCATTAAAATAAAATGATCACCACAGAGTATCTACAACAGGTAGAGGTAGGTCAGGAAGAACAATTTTATAATTTCATATCTTTTCTGTAACTTCCATAGTGCTGATATTAGGCATCCAACCTTTCTGTACTCTTGCAGTTATCCATATGATACAGCAGATACACCAAGCCTGTCCACAGTGCAACAGAGTTATGTGACCATGTAGGCCTGTTTCCAATTAGCAACATAGAATCTACATGCAGTAACATTTGATGCAGTCCCAGGGCTTCTACACTGTTTCCTCCATCTCTTCAATATAACTAAAAGACTACATCTAAATGATGGTATTTCACTCAACACAGGATTTCTGTTAAATATTCAAATAATCAATTATTTCCTAGACTATGCACAGTAACTGAAGCAAGAATGTAGCTATATAAACACAACATTCATCTCTGATATCATCATTCACAGAAGTGATCAAGATTTTTTAAGTTACAACAGCTCTTATATCCCAAAGGATTATTTTTGATCATTATAAGATGCTTACAAATAACACAGAGCAGAATTTTGGGGTAGTAGCTAATCTATAACTTTATATATGCATGTATTTGTGGCAAGCACTATGTACATACATGTTGGCATAAGACATTTCACATTTCACTACATTTTGGTTTCTTAGGGCATTAAATGTGTTAAGCTATAAAACAATGACAACAAAAACATTGATCAGCCAGGATAGTTTTCTACACTACCTTTGAATATTGTGGTTTTCCATCTTCATAATGAATTTCCACATAATCAGAAGACAATAAATCACTGCAAAGAAAATATTTTGAGGAAACATGATTCTAAAATAACAAAAGAATATCCGATGTCATTATTATCACTGTGAATCTCAATGCATATGTATTTGAAATTTCAAAGTAGATTAATTTTACTCTATACTACCTGAAGAATAAAGAGAGAAATCCCATGGTCCCTGAAGAGTGACCCTAGGAATGTTCCAGGGACCATGTGAAAGTGCTCCTCTTCCCCCAGCCTCTCATAACTGTTGCAGAAGGAACTGCTTTCAGAGATCACAAAGCAGTACAAATGCAGCAGGATATGGGATACTTAAAAGTCTCCAAGTTAGAATGCTTCCATGGAACTAGAGCACAGTCTGTAATACTGTACCCTAAATGTACGCAAGAAACATTAGCATTTGTATTCTATCTTTCCAGTGTTCAATGTGGCTTACAACATATTTAAAATATCACAACACTATGAAGTCAGTGCAGCCAACAGATTAAAACAGTTTTTTAAAAGTTTGATGAGTCAGTAAATCAACTTTAGTCATCAGCTAAAAGCCTGTTGTAAAGGAAAAATCTTAACCAAATTATAAAAGGGCAGTGGGGGTTGGGCATACCGGCTGAAGAACTAATAAATATAAGTAAAATACTGTTTAAATGATGGTAGAGAGCAGATAAGATATAGAAATAGAAGCTGGAAAATAAACAAAAAGATAGCAACAGATGTGTCAACTCCAGCCTTGCTCCAATACTACTATTCTTCATTTGTTGTATGCATAATCTCTTTACTGAAATATCTAGGGGATCCTCACTGTTGCTTTACAGTCTAGAATAGCTAATATTTTAGGAAATAAATGCATGATCATTTCTTGCAATTACAACAGAGTGTGAGCACTATAATAAAAGGAAAAATAACTTACTTATTCAGGGATAGGTCAAGAGTAAATGTAGAGCCAAAGGCTTCTATCTGGAAACTTGCCTGAGCCAGATGCACAGCCTGAAGATAAGAATGGAAAGATGTGGGCGCAGGGGAGGAAGACACATGAATAAGAGAAGCTTTGTTATTTTGACATAAGCCCAGTTCAGTTACATAGTTTCAGTCATCATAAGTACAGTAAGCTTGCTTAATTTCAAGCACATTTGGGGCATCTACATGTTGAGATTAACATGTTAATTTTAACATTGATTGTTATAATCTATATACAATACCATAAAGTAGGAACTAGCACAGAAAAACTCTGCTGCATTCTATTTACTTCATAAATTTAATTTTTCAAGATTCATAAGAATTATTATAGGTATAAACAGCACAAGACACCAGTTCCTAATAAAAGTAGGAATTTCAGCTGCATTCATGATTAAAATGTTCCAACTCTAACATTCTAACAGATATTCATAAACATCTACCCAATCATTAGAGAGTCAGGTTCTCCTGCTAGCTGGGATACTGCAGGTGAATATACCAGAGAGAAACTTTATAGATGCTGACACCACACAGAGTTTCTTGGGCTCCTTTGCTACTACACTGTAAATAATCACTTTCTGTGGACCATTCAATAGAGGACAAGTAAATTGTACCTGAGCTGATTTTATCAGCTAGTTTTTTAAAAAACCGACCTACAGCAAGGTATTACCAAGACTGCCTAGCCACCTCTGTTTTCAAAGGGAATGCAACCCAATCCTGCACAGACTGAATCCCTATTTCCTGATGTGCTTGTCTACTGACCAGATTCATCTCTGTCTTATCTAGATTAAGTTTCAACTTGCTTGTCCTCATTCAGTCCATTACTAAAAAGACTGATTTATAATAACTGCTTTACTTGATTAAGATGAACAGAGACACAGAACTGGGTGTCATTCCATGTTCTAATGGCACCAAACTTCCAAACTTCTCTCTCCCAGCAGTTTCATGTAAACAGTAAATAACAGAGAAGACAAAGTTTCATGTGACACAAAATGAGAGGACTCTAACAATTTCCAACAGTTTGGTTTCAACTTAAGGAACTAACTTTGTAAGTTCTTCAAACAATTTGACATTTGGTAGTGGTTGTATATAAAACAAGCTACTGCAAATCTGGCTACTTTCAAACTTTTTGAAACTGATTGTTTAGAATTAAAAATCACTGTCTTATCTCTGTAGGTAAGCAGAAGCAAAGTTCAGGACATACTAAGCCAATTTATACTATGGCCTTGATAATAATAAAGAATAGCCACCACTGTAAACTGGTTTTGTCTGTTTTCAGTATTTGAAATTTATAGGATTGCTTTGATGAAGGAGCTTTGCTTCAGAAGATTGTTGGGTCCAAATAAAAACATTTACCATTGGTTGCTTTGAAAATACATTTTCTTTCTGCATTTTGTTCAGTTTGGGTCCCTTCCTTCTGGTTTTTTTCTGCTTTTATCAAAAGGTACTGGTGCAGTTCACACATAATGCTAAACCACCCTGGATGATGGGTTGGTTGTTCATTTGCCAATCCATGTTACATCTGACAGATAATCAGACATGTGGCAGCTTGGCATTGCTTATTTCTGCCTCGAACACCCAGCCCATTGCTGAACATATCCCAATGTCCTTTGTAGAACTTTATGCCCTTCTCTCACCCCACTCCCTACACAGTCACTTCATTTGCCACATTTGAAAAATTATTCTTGTCAATGTCTCAGAATTGTAGAGATAAAGTCTTTTTAAAAAAAAGGCTTGGTCTTTCACAAACGCACAAATTTTCAAATTCAGCAGCTCAGTAAGTATACTCTTGCTGGTCAATTTCCTTATAAATTTCAGATGTGAAAGGAAGCAGAAAGCTAATTTGCACAGTTGTGAAGGACCAGGGGAGAAATAATAGCAAGAAGAGAAAACTATTCACACTTCAGAAGGGGGAAATGCAAACAAATGCCCAGACAGAACATGGACGGTATCTTCAGTCTGACAATGCAGTCCTCTCAATTTATCCTCCTTTCACTGAACATTTCTCTGAGTTTCCACCTACTCTAGAAATGGTAGCTATTGGCTCCTCACAATCCACTTTTAGAGCCAGTCCAATGCCCTCCCATATCAACTTCCTTGTTAGAACAACCACCAAGATGGCCAAAGCTGTCATCATCCCATAGCCATCAAAACACAGGTAGTCAACTGACTGCCATGCAAGCCCCAGAATGCAAGTTATAGTGACCCACAATATTAATGGGTGGAAGGCAGAAATGTTTTTCAGAGCAGATCTGAGGGACATGCAGTTTTGAGGTATACAATACTGGACCTGTGCCATCACAATCCTCTGTCTAAGAAATGGGAAAAATTCAGAGAAAAACTACATAACCCAGGCTACATAACCCTGGGAAAAAAGCCCAGTGTCCCGCAAAATCTATTTGATCTTTATTTTTTCAAATTATGTATATACCACTTTTCAGGTGAACTCTCTAAAATCTGTTTACATCAAAATATTAAAATAAGTATTTACAATACTATATAATAAAATGCTAAAGAAACGCTACACAGAGAACAAAATCTGAAGCATCAAGGCAAGATGGTCCTCTAGAAACAATGTTGTGGCAATTGAGAAGGAAAGGGGCCAGCTCAGCCAGTACACTAAGAGCTAGGTAATGGAAAGTAGCTTAGGAAACCCCTTGCCAGATAAGAGAAAAATTAATCTAATTCAAGTGATCTTTACATTGTTAAGTTATTGGAAGCGTCAATCATTAATCACTATCTAAACCTCATCTACTCAAGGCAGTAAGCAAAAACACAAAAGTAAATAGATTTATTGTACAAATCTCTAAAATTCTCTGCCTCCACAAGATGAAGATTTTAAAAAAAGCATCAGTAAACCAGCACATTTATATTACAGTGTCCTCAAAGCTTCCCGTCTCCTATTTATATGGTTGTATTTATATTGTATTTAAATTTTACTATGTTTTATGTTTTGTTTAGTATTATTTATTTTTCCTGTATTTTATATATATTTATATTGTATTGTGAGCTGTCTAGAGAGTCTTTGGCTATGGGGAGGCATACAAATGTGACAGATAGAATACTGCAGCGTGCCTATTAGAAGCTTGTTAAGAATGGAGTACTTATGTCTTTTAGTCAGTGCTTTTTTTTGTAAGGTGCCAGAACTCATGAAATTATTTACCTTTCACATGTAGTCAATCACTGTACACACACCCACACATGTCAGTTGTGCAATAAAACATAACGGTCACCGCCCACAGTAAGCACTCAGCGCGTGACCACACGACCAATCACAAGCCACGCAGCGCCACAAACCGAGCAGCGCAATCACAACCAGTGCAGACAAAGTACGCATGCATCGGATTCAACATACAAGCAGCCCGCATGCACCATTTTAATGATTCTGCCGCCGACCTGCTACGCTCGACAGGGTGATTCAAATCCACATGGACCAAACATCAAATTTTCAACAGTTACTTTTAAAACTTGGAAAATCTGTTGAAAAAAGGTGCCGGAACGCCATTCCAGTGTGTTCTATGACAAAAAAAGCACTGCTTTTAGTACAAGCATTTCAAATAACTAGGCATTGCATTAAATATATAATGGATTATACTATTATCGATAAAATATAGCACAATAATTCACAGCTATATCTCTTGCATGACTGCTTCTTCATTCACAGAATATGAGCAGATTAAATTTCTCTTTTGAAATGACTGAAACAGCTCTTGCATATGGATTGGTGAGAGACTGCATGCATCAGATGAAATCTTTACACCAAAAACAATTACTCGAACCAGGCCATAAATGTTTATAGATTCCTTTTCCTGCTAAATTTTTTGTATGTTTTTTTCTGGTGTAGTCATCTGGTTAGCATTTACTGTAACAAAAGAGTAGTAGTAAGATCCAATGCATATGAACTATTGCTTTTTTCAGTTGGGTAATACTTTTATTAGGGCCAATGAAAATGATTTACTAAAAGGGACTGTTTGCTGAAACTTGGTTTCCCTTCTTTGTATTTGTGAATAGGGATGCCCTTGTATAAGTAACCCCAGAAATCCAAAAGTCATTTCAAATGGACCTACTTTATTTCATTGGTCCTATGCATGGTTTATTATGCTGTATTTTCAAGTATATAAATTACAGACAGACAATATATTTCTTCTGATTTAAAAAAATACTCAAAAAATTCCATCTTTTCCACTTTCCAGAACTTCATGTTGGGCTAGACTGGAAAATTAATCCCAGAAAGAGACAACCATTACTGGTTTATAGTACTTTTATTAGCATGTTTTCTGATGAACCTGAAGATAAATCTTGCAAGGATAGTAAATGTTTCCTACCTTGTCCTGGAAAGGGGAAAGAGGTAACCCAACATGATGCCTCCTAACAGCATACAGAGGAGGCACAAAAAACATTGGGTGGGGAGGAAAAAGAAAACAAAACAAAAAGTAAAAAGGAATATTCCAGCCACTGTTGTCATTAGGTTAGCAGCTTAGACTCAGTTTCAAGATGGAGACTGAAATGCTAGTCAAAGCCCGGGAACATAGAATACTAAAACAAAAGCCTGAGATGAAGCTGCAGACTTAACAACCACCATCATATTTGGTCTAATCTTTGTAGTTTTTTTACATTTTTCCCCCACCTATTTTCTTTTCTTTTTTATTATCTAGCATGATAAAAAAAAGTTCTGGAGAATTCAGAATTTTGCATAATCTTTTGTACTACTTGGATTGGTCCCTAATATTTTGCCCAATAGCAGGTTTATTTTTTTTTCTTATCAATCAATATGTCTATTTTTGTTTCTCATATATTTTTTCAGTATTTCATTATGCAATGTTAATATGGCTATCTTCTTTAGAATTGCTTCTATGATTCTACCATCTAAACTGAGAAATCAGCTTACTGACAGGCAGTATATAAACCTTTCAATAAATACATTAACAAGAACTATGTAAATCTATAAAATTCATTTTTCTAAATATATTTAGGACCAATTTTTACTAGCAATTTGGTGATGACAGAATGTGAATGAGCTCAAATATTCTGAT